GTGGTTAGTGTTAACATTAATATTTGGTATGATATTGATTGCATGCTAAATATGTTGATCGCTCATCATTGAAGCAATCTAGGTCGTTCGATGCATATGGTGTGATGGCCGATATTAGTTGGATCGGTCCCTTTGGGTCTTTTTATATTGATATAGATATAGATAAATAACATTTAGCAATATAAGGTTGTGAATGCATCTGTTGACGTGGAGGTTGGAGATTATCATTCTTTTCAGGAAAAACAATACAGATCCTACTTAGTAAAGATAGATATGGTCGATCAAATAAAGTTTAATAATCTCTTTCTCTGGAAGTTGCTCAGTTATCTTGCAATTAATCAAATTCAGGTTTTCTCTGCTGAAAGTCTGAAGCCGATCTCTGCCACTGTTGTTAAGTAAACATTTAAACATGCAAGTACATAGTCTTAGCTACGGCACGCTGCACACAGCCGCGCCCCTGGTTTGAGGCTCTCTGATGAGCACTGAAAAGGCAGCCGACGGTACTGCAAATTGCATGTGTTAACTGGAGCCTAACGGTTTCTGTATCGATTCGCGCTTTGCAGGGAGTGTGTGAGTGAGGGTCACGTGACCCCCGGCCGGCTTCTCACCAACAACCCTCAATGCACGTACTCCATGGGACCATGCCTCTCCTCCTCTCCTCTCTCGTCTCCCCCACTCTAAACAGCGCCCTAAGGATTCCCCATGAAGAGCCCTACTCATCCTTAGCCTGCACCACCTTCTCCATGACAAGTTCTTTCTCTCTCCATTCGGTTTTCCTTTTTTTCTCACCTATCATGAGAGCAAGAACTTAGTTAGTTAGAGAGAGAGAGAGAGAGAGAGAGAGAGAGAGAGAGAGAGCAGTGGAACACTATGGCTTAGGGCAGAAAAGGGGGGCATGGTACACTGGTTTTCATGTGCTATCCCTCCATGTGTTGGCAATGATTTTCCATTTTGGAAGAATGTGGTGGCTCTGAGCCTACGGTGTTACTAGTACTAAGCTAGCTAGCTGTTCTTCGCCACCACGCATAAATTGCATATGGTTGCGGAGAAAGAAACAAAAGGATACACCATTACTACTAGTTGCTACCTTCTCAGTACTACTGCTATGGCCAAGCCCAAGGGGATTGAAGAAGGAAGATGAGAGGCAGTACAATGTTGTTGCTTTACAATCTGTCATATCTCCCATGCTTTTCTATGGCCATGGCCATGCAGTATCAAACAATGGAGGTAATCATTTGCAAGAATCTTTCATCCTTTCCTCGAGAGACTAGAGCAAATAAAAAGCGCGTGCCAGCAGACAGGTAGAACCCTGCGCTTTTGTCCTCTCACTCGCACTGCTCACTTTGTCCCAGAGCTCACTTTCAGGCCCCTAAGAAGTGCCTGCGGCCATTACCAGCAATCATCATAATCTTTAGTTTTCCTTTTTGCAAAGTTTCAAGGCAAGTTGGGACAAAAAGGATTGCAGGATGTTGCATAAATTCCTACAAGAAAATTACCGAGGCATGAAAACTCACTGCCAATTCATATTGCTTTGCCCTAGCATACGATCAATAGAGTTAACCATTTTATGCAAACACATAAAAGTTACAACAGGTGAAATTTTTTGGAGAGTTTAAAAAAAATAGGAAAACAACTGAAGATGCATACAAATCCACAAAATTATCACCAAAGTCCTGGTAGGCAACAAAAGACGAAAAGGCCACCTTACGAATAGAAAAGGGAATAAAATGACAAATAAGCTGTCATGTCGAGGTTGGCGTCGGTGGAAACAGTTCCATGAGATTTTTGGTATGATGTTACTATTGCTTCAGGGACACCTCTCAGGTGTAGACTGAGGCCCATCTTGTATATTGACTCAAACAAGCTATAGATTACACCAAGTGCACGCGTGTTTCAGTGTCATCTACTAACACTAGTCCTGGCAGCCAACATCCTAGTATGGCTAACACTAGTGGTTCGTCATCGAGATTTAGACGAAGTTCGGCTGTCTATTCCTGAAGTAAATCATCATCAGACAATTCGGAATGAGAAGCGAAGCTCGAATCTGTTCCCGGAAAAAAGTTCCAATAGAGACAGAGGAATGACTAAGACTATGAGATGCCCCTAGCGCGAAGAGAGATCATTTGGTTTGTTAATTAATAGGGGGATTTTCTCAAAGTAAGATATGGATTACGCGAGCAGTATATATGAGATGCCCATTGGCACTACTGCCTAGCTTCCACGTTCCACAAGGATCACAATTAGATCATTGGTGTGTGCAGTAAACAAACACTAGTGAGTGGAGTGGAGATGCAAGCATCTATAAAGTTGCCAGATTGTCCCTTCCACATTCCCCATCCATGGTTCAAATAAGGAAATCGTTAAGAGTGCCCAGTTGCTTGTTAATGAATGTTATTGTTAGTTGATGAATATCCATATTTCTTTGGTGCATGGAGCCCAATAGTTGCAAGTTTGAGTAACTACTGCAGTAAAAATTAACGAACCCAAGTTCGTTGACTTGAATACGCACAAGCAAATAAAAACACAGAAACATGCATTTTCTTCTATTATCTTACTCCGCCCGTTGCATAATCCATGTAGTGCATATTTTGTTTTCAAAAGTCAAACATGTCTACATTTGACAAAGTTTATTGAACAGACTATGCCATATAAAATACTAGATAAATAAAACGTATAAATACTCTTCATGATGAATCCAATGATACTAATTTTGGATTTTGGATATCGATATTTTCTTCAATAAACTTGGTCAAACATAGACATGTTTGACTTTCGAACAATCTATCATGCACTACATTGTAGATCGGAGGGAGTATATTAGAAAGGCACAAAACAACATTGATGTTCTCTTCAGGATATTAGATAGTATAAAATACCATGTTAGCCAGGGAGAAGGAAAATATATACCCAGGCTGCTTATACCAGTAGATCAAAATTGTAATGGTGCAAATATCATACACCCCCATTTCTCAATGGTTGTTTAGAAAAATACACATCACCAGTAGAAAAGAAAAAAACTACACTTTCCGCTTACGTGTGTTAAGATTGGTATGGTGCTGTTTAACTGGATGTGGAGAAGAACTATCAAAATATATAAAAACAGAAATCCATTTTTATAATTGTCAAACGCTAACCATGACAACGTAGAAACTAACCTTAGTGTGGTGCATTTCCTAACGCAACACTAACATTAGAAGCCACTGTTTCGATGAATAAGGTATTTACATAGGTAGAGGATTGACATAAATCATTTGCCATGCACGCAAATGACTAACCAATAGTTACTTACACAACAGAATAACCACGTTTCAGCAGCATATCACACTATATATCCCGGAAATACACAATGCGAGAGGGAGTGGCCGCTAATAAGCAAGAACAAACAAACAACACAAAGACACGAGTTAAACACCCCGATATTAATATTCAAATATAGTGGTCACATTGAATTTAAGAATCAGCATTTCCATTCATGAACTTTTATTCTCATGAACTCATTATTACGAAGAAAGTCACAGATGAATGTATATCAAAACAATCAGCTTTAAACCCAAAAAGATCCCAGGTGTCAATAATTTTGGCCAATCTACTACTATTAGTTTACTAAATTAAGGTAAATGCATTCAGCGGAATATACACATGTTGCATCCTTTGAAATAGAGCAAGTTCTCTTTTGAGATAATGAAATCGACCAAGTTGAAAGGCAGCATATACAAAGGAACCTCCATGCATTATAATAGTAACACTATTTGACGAAAAAACATGTTATGCTTCAAAGAGAAATTAAGGTATTAAGAAGTTAAAGGCTTAGTACGCATGTGCAATTTTGGAAGTTTACACGACCCATCATCAAATTTATTTAGCCTGCTGTGTAGAATTATTTTTCAAATTCTAACTTCAATATCAAAACTGCCGGCTTATGTACCCCACTACTATTATTGCTAAAAGCCATGCAGACACATGAATTTTCTCATTCACAAACACGAATTATATTTCTTAAAAAGTAAATATACAGATAAAATAACATAATTTGTTAATACTACTACTGTACTCAAATCGTAGCTTTTCACAAGCAGACTTAGAGATTGAAATGAACTGCAATGGTACGTTTGCTAGCACTAACGGATATAATTATTTTGGTAAAAAAAACTTCATCATTTCTTGTGAGATGACTCTTATAAATTTATTAAAAAAACAGAACTGGGTACCCAATGCAATTGCAATCTAAGGTGGTGGAAAAACAAATCAACAAGTTCATGCCATAGATGACGAAAACAAAAATGAGATGAATGAACCACCAATCAATCATTCCCCCTCATACCTGCTAAGCTCGGAAACATAAAACAAACACCGAAATCAAGCAAAGGGATCATCGCATGGCTCGATCGGTCAGCTCCCAATCAACTGATCATTTGGTCTCAAACTTTCTTGCATTCCTCTCTCCTATATGAGCATACAATGGCTCACTCCCAAATTCTAATATAGTACTAACCATAAAACTAACAGAACCACGCCATTAACTTAAGGCGAAGGACGCGACATAGTATCTTGGATCCACGAGCTACCAAGTAAAGTCGACTAGGTTTCTAGGGCGCAGCTTTTGAAGAGCAAAGGGAAAACGAGTAGTAAAGCCGAGTGGTCGCACCTTGTGCAAGACAGATAAATAGAAGAGGCTACGTAGTACGTCGTGGTAAAAGTAAATTTAAAGAAGCCTTAGCATCATATATTATTGCTCTGATGAAAGAAGTAGCAGGAAAATCAAGATTGTTAAGAACACTGTCAATTGAAGATCCGGAAAGAAAAAAACAAGCTAGAGCAGTGCAAGAAATCACGCTTAGTTCCCGGGATCCTAACTGTCAGATTTCTAATCATTTGCTCTGACAGGGTATGTCACTGACTGATCGCCTCAGATGCTCCCAAGAAGAGCTAGAAAGGTCTAAATTACGGGGCCTCATTAAGCTAAGCTATAGCTAGGCTCTAGAGAAGGAAGGAGCATCAATTTATGCATCAATTGACAGATCGAAGAAACCAGGGGTTGGGTGGAGGCACGGTGTTACAGCGGGAGGCGCCGTCGACGTGCGTCCGTGCGTCGTCACTGTCTCTGGTAGGGGTGGCCGTGGAAGAAGGGCGTGGTGGCCGGGAACGAGCCGTAGAGCCCGGGCGTCGGGTACGGATCCATCACCACAGCCGATGACACGACGATGTTGTGGTTGTTGCCGCCGCCTGCGTCGCCCGCTTCCGCGCCCGTGCTCGGCGGGGACACGTCGCCGGTCAGGCGGAACTGGTAGTCGCCGCCTCCGCCGCCGCTGCCTCCTGCGGCAGCTTGCAGCTGGGCGTGGGCGTTGCTGGGGCCGACGTCGTGGAGGATTCCCTTGAACACGTGGCCGCCGATGCTGACGGTGGTCTGGTACGCGAGCTCCGCCTCGGCCTGGTCCACCGGCCCGAGACGCACGCATCGGAACACCGCCTCCGAGCTCACCTCCCGCGGGAACCTCTCCGCCACCGTCACCATCTGCTGATCCCCTACACACGCACACACAAAAAGAAAAACAGGTTTTAGCGTCAGATCCGGGAGCATGGAGGCATGGAAGGTGTAGGTTTTGCACCACGTACGTGGTATATAGTACGTACCTGAGGAGGTGGTGGGCGTGGTGGCCGCGAGGCGAGCGCGGGGGCGCTTGGTGAGGTCGCGTGAGGGGCCAGCCCCGCCCGTGGTCGCGGCGGCGGAGGCGGCGAGCGCGGTGAGCTGCTGCTGGCGCTCGCGGCGCTTGGAGGCGGGAACCCAGGTGGACTTGACGTGGGTGGAGCAGGCGAAGCCCCGGGACTTGCAGCAGGTGCGGCAGCGCTGGTGCTGGCAGTCCTTCTTGGCCTGGTTGCCGCAGTCCTGGCAGCTGGTGCCGCCGCCGGTGCCGGCCAGGGCGGCAGCGCGCGCCCCGCGTGAGGAGGAGGAGGAGGCCGCGCCGGCGAGCGACTGCGCGGCGCCTGCGGGGAGGTCATCGGTGGCGAAGCGGATGAGGTTGGGGGCGTAGAAGGGGTGCGTGAGCTGCTGCTGGTCCTGCGGCTGGCCCCATAGCTGGAAGCCGCCCCCGCGCGTGGCGTAGAGGAAGGTGGACGCGTCGGACGGGTGCACGCCGGGCGGCGACGCGGAGCTGTCGCGGCCGCTTCCTCCGGTGCCTAGAGGGAAGCCCGCCATGCGCCCAAATCCATAGGCCGCCGTGCCGATCTCCCTCTATTTCACTCTATCTACAGTCGCTGCCCTGGCCATGCGCTAGCTCGTGTAGGAGTACGCGCTATCTTCCTACCTACGTACTGCGGTATGTCCGGCTGCTGGCCTCGTCGATGGGAAGGGAAGAGAAGAGGATGGGGAGGAGG